CGGTAGTACCAGCCATTACGCTTTCGCATTACATGAAAGCAGGCATTTCTTCGTGTTTCGTCCGTCTTTCTACTCCACTGTTCACCTCAAAGCTGTGATGTGTGCACGGCATACGCTAAAATAGCCATGCTAACCTGTAATAATACCTCACTCGGTAAATCACAGAGACGCAGTCCTTCATACACTTCGGTACTTGTACCGGTCATGGATTGGCATACCGCTTCCGCATCAACTGTTCACAGCCTTCCTCTCCCCGATTTAACCAACAATGCTATGCTCTGCTCTATTTAAAAAAATAAAAATGCATAACCAGGCATTCTGCCACTGGTCATTCCTTTCTGATGGTCTCTACGTACAAAATGCTTGCCATCCCACCCACAACGATGCTCATCGCCTTCAGCACCCCGATTCGCTCTCCCAGGAAAACTCCCGACATGCCAACAACGATTTTGTTGGTGGCTCCCATCATGCTCAGCGTGGTGGATGAAAGAGAGCGCAGGCACCAAACGGTCGACAGGGCGACAAAGAACACAGATAGCCCTGACAATGCAATAAAGAGAAAAACCCTGTCATCGAAGTACGCCGAGCCGCTCAGCTCGAGGAGATCGCCGATGAATGCCTTAATGATGAGAATGTTGTGCACGACTGCTAGGTCGGTCACCTTCTCCATGTTCAGAAGGAGCGTGTCCATGTAGTCCGGCGAGGAAAGAACGTCATTCTCGAGAACACGCTTAAAGGATGAAATCGATGCATAGTTATCGAAGAGGAGGGAGAGCAGAAAGAGGAAGGGAATAGAGAGGATCTGCGAATACATAAGGCTTTCAAAGTCGTTTGGCTGGTTCTGCTTGCCCTTTTTTCTTGGTGTAAAGTCCCTTTTCTTCGTTTCTCTGTTGCCGTGCGCATCTACGGCCTGTGCATTCTTGCCGGCACCACCATCTGGAGACGTGTGCTCTGATTGGCTGCCATCGAGCCCCTCGAACATCCGCACATAATCGCCTATTCTGTTGTTCCTTACCTTCCTGGCCGCCTCGTTACAAAATACGATCACGGGCGCTGTGCATGTGCCACCGTTGCGAGTTGTGCATACCGCACCGCTTGGCATTTCACGTGTATCGGGATGCATAGCATCACCTGTCTCGTCGCTGGTCACGACACGCAACATCCTTCTCAGGAGTTCCTTGCCAGCCCGATCTGTCGCGGCGATGCCTTCATCGTCCACATAGCATTTTCTGCCATGGTCGTGCGGACTGTGCGCCACGGCATCCTTCTTGTCTCCACGGCGCGTATTTTTCTCTGCCTCTCTCTGTCTCGCACGGATATGATGAACGATGGTCATCCGCAGGACAATCACGTACACCGCGCTTGCCACAACGTTGGTGCATATCCAGGCGTACCCCACACGATCAACCCTTGTCTCGCTGTAATCCACAAGCATTCCGCTCACGATCATCATCGCGAAGCACAGAACGGAGAGCCGTGAGATGGTCCTGCCAAGGAGCAGCAGCTCAAGAACAGCGATCACAATCACCGAGTAGTTCTTGAACAGGGTAAACATCGAGATGGAGAGATGCGAGAGCGCACGCAATCCCGAAAATATCATGAGCACCATCGAGACAGCCGAGGGTATCCAGTAGAACATGTGACGCAGTTCCAGGACAAATGTGCACACATTGATGGTCTTGAGGAGCATCAGAAGGGCAACGATTATCACCGACTGCATCAGCAGAAGAAGAAACGTGGGATGGAACTCCAAGGTTGTGGTGATGTGCTTGTTGAGAAGCGTGGACACGAGGGATGAGAAGAGGTACAGCGGTATGAATGCAAATTTGTGCACTGTTGTCATACAGAGCTGTGATGTGCAGCTTTTATAATCCGACACGTCCTGTGTTTCGGCGCTGATTGGCCCGGACATGCTGGCTGGCAGCAGCTGTGCCGGTCCGGATCAATGTGCTGTGCAGGTAACTGAGACGGGACATCTCAGCCAAACAAAGCGATTGGCAGCAGATCGAACGGAATTGCTGCGCTAACTGCGCATCGATAGAACGGACGAACAGTTCAGCACAGCGATCAGTGCGCGTGTCGCCTGCTGCGTAAAGATGTTCACAGCACAAGAACAAATTTATTGATCACAATGCCGCAAATATTCTGTTTTACGAGCAGGGAGCGGTTGCACCTGCAGAATCTGCCATAAGAAGTGAAACACAGCAGAGTGTGGGAAACAGCGGCAGCTTTGATACGACGGGTGAGGAACAAACCGCTGTGCCGCTACTCGGACAGCTTGTAGACGGCGTATCTGTGGTTGAATCGTTTGAACCCGTGGATTCGCAGCTTGCTGTACGTGCCCGTGCCGTCATGCACGTAGAACACGCGCCGTATTCTGCCGTGCACAAACGCCATGCTGCACGACAAGCAGGGCTCGTTCAGAACAAACGCGTCCAGTCCCGTGCACAGGTAGTCAATCTGCAGCTGCGAAACAGCCGTGACGGCGCTGAGGATGCCGTGGCTAAGGATGTCATCCCTGTCCCTCTCCACCGCCAATATCCGCCTGTTTGCAGGATTTGCTATCAAGCAGATGCATGCACATGCTGTTCCACCGTCCTTAGCAGGCTGACTGGCCGGCCTGGTACAATCCTTCGCACCTGCTCCTCCATGATCTACGCTCGTATCGCTTTTTTCGTGCGCATCGCCTTGCACCGCTCTGCACCCCGTACCACAATCCTCCCTGCCAGCCTGCACTTCTCTATCCGCTTTGCTCCCCCTCATCTCGCTCAGCATCCTCGTGTAACAGCTGCTAACATACTCTTCATCCACCTTCTCTTCACGCACAGGATGGTAGTAGCACGGCCACATCTTGTTGTAAACAGCATGCTCATCACGACTTGCTGGGTAGTCAGCCGGAACATCAACAACTATGAAGCCGCTCAACTCCCCCATTCCATAAAGCACCAGCGCGCTTCCATCGCCTATCTTGTTCACTCGTTTAAGGTGCCTGGGCACTCTGCACGCCTCGTTGTTCCTAATGCATGCGATAAAGACGTGAACACCGGACTGCGGGACACGCACAACGGAGGCCTTCATCAGCAATGGCCGTTTCTGAGGCGACCTCAGCTTCGCTATTATCATCGTAAAAAACGGTGGGGCACGCCGCTGAATTTAAAAATGTACCTTCAGCACTCCGAAGAAAGACGAACGCCCGTGAATTGGACAAATCGCACGTTTGGTCAATGCGGCACGTGCATTTTTGCGACAGCAACGAGAAAACGGAGAATCCGCAGCAAAATGAGAGAACAGCGCAGAAGAGCCGCCACGGGCCGGCAACGCGGATATTCCACACGGCACAATCACGAACCGCTAATTTATCACCATCCAGAAATAAACAAACGGCCTTGCCCATTGCATGGACATCGCCAATTTGGACCACACGTGTTCGCAGATCAACCTGCCATACTGCCGGTACATCGACAAGCCCGCATACTACCCTGCCCGGAACTACATGATCATGGACTACCGACTACACTCTCTGTGCACACTCGTTCTTCTGATGGTGCTCATCATGTCGCTGGTGCGTCTCCACGTAAACATAAGGAAAAAGTACATAGCATACGCCAGGGATGAGCTGATGCTCATATGCGATATTTATCTTGCACACCTTGTGCTCGAGTTCGTTCTGGTGCTCGAGCTGTTCAAGTCCAGACTGATACTCACCGTTCAGCTGTCGCTGATCAACGCTGGCACATTCACTCTCATCCTACTGTGCATATTCTGCACCGCGCTCAACCTCATACACTCGTATGCCATCGTGCGCGTGCTTGCCGTCGCGTACTTCGCTGCAAGCCTGATTTTCTTCCTGCTCTTCCTGAACAACACCGTTCTCGTGTTCCTCAACTTCATTTTCAATCTCTTCCTTGTTCTTCTGTTTGTCTTCGTGCAGCTGTTCAAACTGGTAAGCAGCAGGGCAGAGGTGTGGTCATTCGGCAATCTCTTCATTTCCGTGCTGTTTCTTGCCATGTCGGTCCTCGTACTCTTCGTGGGCAACAACGTCATCTGCTTCGTGTGTGAAGGCTACTTGGACGGCTTGTTCGTTTTTCACATCTTTTTGTTCCTCAGCTTTCTGATGCTGCACAAGTACTGGCTGAGCACGTGTGATAAGGAGGTGGAGTGCACAGCAATACAATCGGGCAGTTGATGAGTTGCAGCGCACGTGGTGTTCTTCCATGCTGTTCACAAACAATGAATGAGTGCAGACCGCGTGGTGTTCTTCCATGCTGTTCACAAACAATGAATGAGTGCAGAACACGGGCATGGATCTTCTGCTCATAGAATATAATAAAAATGTTTTTGCAGAACTGCACAAATCCCTGCTCGGTCCTACCTGATACTTCGTTTCATGTGGCCCATATTTGCAGCACAATTTTCGTGCCCCGATGACATATTCGATGAAGGAGAGAACGCTGGTTGGCCTGATAGCGGACGAGGGGATGGTGAAGGGCTTCCAGATGACGGGCCTGGTGTTTGACAAGAAAAATCCGAATTTTCACATGGTCACTCCGACCACAAGTGATGAGCAGCTAGAGCAACTGTTTGAGGAACTGGTCGTCAGGCCGGACATCGCCATAGTTTTCGTGGGCGACTTTGTTGCGGAGCGAATTAAGACGAGCATGGGCAGATGGCGGGCGCTCGTACCCACGGTGCTGGCGATACCTACGAAGACGGGCTGTCACTAATGTGACTGATCAACGATGGATGAGCAGCATTCTCAAATTGTTGAGCAAAAAGGCTTGATATGGTTTAATTATCTCTTTTTCTTTTTAGTAAATGTTTGCCGAACGGCTCGCAAGACAATAAAATCTACTTGGTGCTATTTGAATGCACCGTACATTTAGGAATGGTCGCTTGTTGTAAACTCATAGAATTACCGGCATTATCTTTCGCAAATATATTGGTTATGAAAGGAAAAGCATTTAACACCTTTTCTGTACCAACACCTCTGCTACAGAATACCAAAGATTTACCTATTATCAAGGATGTCAACGGGTCCTGTTGTAACAAAAGTTTATTCTCAGACTACCGGCACCCGCCCCGATAAACCATCAGGCGTATGGCACCATTTCAACTACAATACTCTCAATTATACTGCTCATTATAGTTAATAATCTTTTTTGTTCATTTCTCTACCTTTTGTGATTGCCCAAATTCTACGATCAAATTGATGTGTTGTTTTCAAAATACTTTTAATCATAAATTTTTGGTATTATTTGCTGAAAAATGTGAGATCGTTCACGCTACGTTTGATCAGTCAAGCAAATTACCATCAATTTAAGCGTTTTATTTAAAAATACCAGTTGTTCGAATAATTTGTGAACAATTTGCCATTTATCGTATCGCGTGAAGTCCGTATGGTATCAGGAGAACAACATGTTCGATATTTTCGTTTTACCTTAACCATGTTACGGGAGTATCTTTATCGTTTGGGCGGATACATTTTTAATCACATGATGACAACATCTTTTGCACTATGATTTGAACATCGTACTGCGGTAACGTTGAGAGATTCTTTTGTTAAGATTGAGTCCTACTTTGTTGATGTTGTGCAAAGAGTATTTCTGTAGAAATTCATTTTTAGGTATAAAGGATCGTACAGATATTATACAAAGAAAGTTTTCATGCTTTTAGCGAAATGGGGCCTTGCATTCAGCATTCATATCCGATTGATCGATAGAAAATGGAATATCAGTTATGTGTAAACATAGAAACATGCATTCTATAGAAATTGATTAGTTAACTTTACTTACTCTGATAGTAATTCTCGAGTCGACAGAACCTTTACCCGCTTAATATATTAGCGAAACGACATGCCACATGCTCAAGGAACGAAGCACTTAAGAATGCGTAAGCTGACAATCTAATCATCTCATTTCCGATTTCAAACGTTTCGCCAAGAATGTCCTGGAAATCTTTTTCATAATGAAGCATAAAACCTTTCTCTTCTTCTGGTTTCAAATGCAGCAGATCAATCATATTCTTTGCAAACTCCGTTCTGTTTATCTTAAAAGGCTCCGAAAATGGTTCAGCACAGTCATTGTCCTGTAAGAGAGAGTTTCGCGCGCTGTTGCTTCTAAATTTGGGTGCAGATATCCCAACAGGCTCTCTAAATAGAACGTTCTGCATGTTTTCCCTTAAGATACGTGTTAACGCATCATCTGTTTTGCCAGCAATATCAGAAAGCTCTGCTATAGTTGATTCAAATGGTGTTCTTACGAACATTCTATCCTGAATGTCTAATATTGAATTATCGATCAAATGTTGCAGATGGTCCAAATTATTGAACATATCCCTGAAAGTTAGGTCTAATGAGCTGAAAATATTCGTAATTTTCTTCAATAATTCGCACATATGGAGTTTAAAGGTTTCTAGATCTAAGTTAGTCCTCCTGGTGTCATGGTATTCTATTGATTGTTCTAATTTCAATTCTATGTCATTATTGAGAAATGCCGAGCACTTTCTTTTGAGTGTGTATAGCTGTTCCATCAATCGTAACAGTTGCCAATCACAGTGGTTCCTGCACATAAAAATTTTGTTCTGCAGCTCTTTCTTAAACCTTTTTTTGATTGTAGCAGAGTATGTGCTATATCCGACTTTACATCCTATATTATCATACTTCACTAAAAACAGGATCAAATCCAAGAAAAACGTTGTGTTCCTAGCGATAGGTTGTTCGGTCTTTTCGGACAAACCAAGTAATTGTAGCAAATCACTAGTGTGAAGGGACTGGATTTCTTTTATATTTAGTTTCATTTGCATTCTGTATAGCTCAACACTATGTCCAGGATAAATCTTCAGTTTTCTCTTTTTCTCCAGATCTATTCGGTCATAAAACGCCCGTGCTTGAGCTCTGATATTGGTCGTTCCTGTTCTATAACTTTGGTCAATTCTACCCGCACTTAGACTACTCGCTGAGTGTAGAAATGATCCGCATCTTTTCCTGATTGTATCTTTTTTTCGTATCCTCCCCGTATTTGCTGATTGTGCGAAAAAATACTCGGGTATTTCCAGATTTTTATTCAATCTCTCCCTGTATTTCACAGCTTCCCCAATAGCGCCTTCTTCTGGTATGGCAATTTCAGATTTGATCGTATTTTTTCGAACGCGGTGTTTTCTATTCAAGCTCAGCCTTCTTGTGAGGGTTGGTATGATACGCTCCCTCTCATCCGTTTTGTAGTGGTTTAAGTAGGAAGAATTATTTTCGTTGGAAGCAATGGGGTCGATGTTATTGCTCACCTCGTACACGCTGTACATTTGCCCCGTTAGCATGTCCTTGTTAATGGTGAGATTGATTTCAACAACTGGAGCATTTTTTTCTGTGTCTAAAACTATCCTTTTAAGCTTCAAACCATTTGATCGAAGCGCTTGTCCATTCAGGCAGTGCTCAAAATCAGATGCCTCTGCAGACACCTTGGTAAAGCTGTCCCACCACCGGCTCATCACTTTTTGGTTTAATTTTTTTTGACAATCCAAACCGGCACATTTAGCCACTTCATTCCTTACATGATTCTCTGAATCACATAGTTCGGTGTAGCTGTTGCGATTCTGTTTACGCAACAATCTGTCTAAAAAACTCGTGTGTCCACAAGATTTGCTGCGCGGCCGAAACGTTGTTGTGCCATATGTACCGTTAGAATCATCTGTCACCGACCCAATGCTGTCTTTATAATGGTCGGGGGATACTTCATTTCGTGCCTCTAGCTCGTAATTACTGTCATCGTGATCTGATGGAGCGCATAAGCATGCTAAAAAGTAGGCGAGCATGAGAGAGAAGAAAAAAGCGCTTATAAACTATTATAATAAATCAATATGCCTTTAATAGAAAATTAATAATTCATATTGTTTTTAGAGAGGACTCGATGCGTTGTTTCGTACGTTATTTACAATACTGCAGTCTGTTTTGAATAATAGCACGTAGAATCGTGAAGGGCAACTGAAAAATAGGTAAATGTATTTTGAAAAAGGAGCACGGAGGTAAAATACTCACGGAAGGACATAAAGAAATTGAAGGAGAGAAACAATTCTAAAGTTATAGAACAGAATATCCTTTAGTACAGCAACAACATCATATATCACCAAAAATTAATACATTGTAATGCAAATTAAATACGATTTGCCACATCTCACAAAATCACTGGTTAAAACTTCGGTTCTTCGAACATTTTCCATCAAAAGAATAAAGGCTTGAATTGGAATATGAGTGAAAGTATGTTTCTTGCACCTTCTTTGCTTTTTAGATGACATTACTGTGCATACAACCGCCATGAAACGTGCTTACGTAATGAAGCAGGCAGTAATACGAACAAACAGGATCTTCTCTGCTTTTGCTACAAGTTCAAAATGGGTTTGTGCCAGCAATTAAATCAATTTTCCGCATTAAATTGTGATTCAATTTGTAATAAAGCTGTTTAATCGGTATTAGAGACATTGAAATGGGTAAACGCGGATTGCATCCATTCATAGTGAGAATATTATTTTAAAAGTACAAATTCGGTAATCATATGGTAATTAATTTGGGACTTCCAAGACTGCTAATAAAACAGGTTACGTTTGTTGTTAACATATAATCACAGGTATATAGGTGAGTAACACTCCCTGATATGCTTTACGGTGAACACATGTTCCACACGCATTTTGCGGGCCACTCATTCATAACTTTTATTTTTTGCATCAGCACTACATAAAGTACCTATTTTCAATCATTACATATAAAACAGCTGCATCATAACACCTGTTGACGGTTTTTCCCAAGGGTCTCAATCCGAGAATCCAGCATGTCCATAAGACATCAAAATCAGCCATTTCCGCTTGGATTCGTGTATTATTATCAGTGTACACTTCGTTATCAAGCATGTATTGATCAAGCTTTCCTCATGTGGAATAATTTGAACCCGGTCACCAGAGATGGTTCATGCTAATCTGTCAAATCAGTTCTTCAGGAACTGCAAACTCTGGTGTTACAAAAGCAAACTGCAATAAGAGAAACATCTTCTAGCCCATACGGTATCAGGTTCACGTCCGATTCCTGATATAATCGGAGCCTCTGAGCAGTTTTCCAGAACGAGCACTGATGTCAAAGCCAACAAGCCTGCCACTCAAAATAGGTTTAATGAAGGCTTTACTAGCAAACACAATGAGATATTAGTTAGCATTGGCAAAGCAACTGCAATATCATGTTAGATATTTCTTTTTTTAATGTACGACATACCATCCAAAACCTTGCAACTCCACAATTTGTTCTCTATAACGCGCACACATACCATCTCTAGATAGCGTACTTCTTCTGTTTGGTGCAAATTAACTTTTAATTTGCAAATATCAACGTATATTAAGAGGTTTTGACGTAATATGCCTGGTTTTATTCTGATCGCTTTTTTACACAAATATTGTGCCGTGAACGAGTTACTGATGCAAAAACCGTTGTCTCTTTACATTAACGTTAAGTGAGGTATTCACACAGAATAAAAATCGTAACTTGAACAGAAGAAGAACGATGTCATATTTTGCATGACGTTGCGCACAGCGACAAACTCAAGTAAAATTATCAATTACAAATCAGTTAAAGCTGGTACAATCAAACCATGAAATGTTCATTAATTAAAGTAAAGCAATAAACCAACATTTTTGTGTGTTCCAACACTGTGGGTATAAACATGCCTTCTTCTGGTTATGCTATCCGAATAGAATTCGAAAAGAGAAGATTTCATTGCATTGTTTGGATGACGCGTATCAAATCACCAGTACGTACATAACGAGTCATTTAAAAGGACAATATTGTACCTAAAATGCAATAGCAATGGATAGATCGTGTCAAACAGGAATTTGTTGCCAAAAGATGCCATTTGATTTCAAATTAACATAATTAGTGGAAAATTACAGCAATTTAGTTAAAACATTCGAAATTCACAAGACCTGTGATTTCGATATGTGCTTCACTTCATAATGGCATGCGACGCGCTACTCATCATCAACCAAGGTATAGAAAAACTCTTTATCATACCTCTTACTGACAAGCGGTCGTTGCGCACCACTCAACTTCCCAAGGATATCGACTGCCCTGTACTTAGGAATTCCACATGCTGTCACTATGTTGTTAAGGCTCACCTCCTTCTGCTCATGAAGCAAATTCACAATTTTCTTGAGATTTTGCTGCGTTTTCTGATCCTTAGAAAGAAGGGATGATGCGTAAAGGAGAATGGACTGGAGGGTACGTTTCTTCACTATCGGTTCACTTTCTGCAATAAAAGATGCTGTTTGATCCGTGTTATCATACATCGGATTACACAAGGCATTGTTGTTATCGGGCGTAACGCTCGTGTTATATTCGTACTCGCTCATATCATCGAATTCTTCCATTTCTTCTTCCACAGAGTTTGTTTCATTCTCCTTTTTGTCATTCTCAATTATTGAATTGCACTCTCTAAACGCTTCATTCAGTGCCTTGATCTTTACATTGAATAGTTTTAAGTTGTTCGAATGTGCCTGAAGCTTTTCCAGCTTTGCCTTTATCTCCACAAGGAGCGAATTGATCCTTTGGTATTTTTTCTGCATTTCCAGGGGTGGATGGCAGACATCATTAATTTGCTGTGTAGTTTTAGATATGCATTGCACGAGGAATATCGTGAAGAGGCTTAGTTCAGTTAGTGAAGCGTATTTGAATGAAGTACTTTTTCTTTTCGCCAATAGTATCGCTATTGCTTTCTTGAACATGTTTAGATAAGCTGCCGTGTTTAGCGATCTGAAAGACATGTATGCAGCGAGGAGCTTGCATTTGGATCCTTTGTAACCGATAAGAGGTTCTATTCTATATTACTATGTTCAATTTACTTCAGGCTCTTAATATGAGCTTCTTATCAAAAGCCTGCTCACCGATATACACAAAAATAATATTTACTCATGACAATCGCAAAAATATGAATTTGTTACTTGAACTTACGCTTAACACTGAACCATTCCTATACCATAGCGAAATAAGAACACAAATAAGTTAATAATGACTATAAAGCAGTTATTTTCCCATATTTAAATCAAAGACAGCATCAATCATAACAACGTCTACGTGTTTATTTCATAGTAATACCATTTAATAGTTGCAATCACAAAACTTGAAGGAAAAGACTCGGGCTGCCACGAGCCAATGATTTATTTCTGCTAACATGAAAAGGCGATAAACATTTTAAGGCAGTGTAGAAATGAATATAAACGTGCTTATAGAAAAATGTGTAAAAGGCCCTTCTTCCCTGATCGGCCTATTACTAGGGCAATAAACTTAACTAAAAATGTTTTCTGGTATTTTTAACTTTCTTCCAGGGATTACTTAGCCGTTAATCGTTACCAGAACAGTTAATTTGCTGGCATACGGTTTTATTACAAATATTCAACCGTATAAGACATTTCTTGTAGTAGCATTTTACTATGCATGCATTCTTGAAATATGCTGTAATTCCAGAATAGGTCACCGCTCGAACAGCTTGATGGTGTATTTTGCTAAGTGCTTTCGCTCGTGTAAATGTTCCTGATTTTGAATTTCATTGGTTGAAAATTGTTTGGATTGGCCAAACTGTCGCCAACCCCAAAGCAAAAAATTTTAGTTTTGAAAAATTTTGCCCTTAATATAAATGACCATCATAAAGGACTACAAGCCGCTTGAACTGACGTTGAACATCCGTAAATTAACCAAGAATGATTCGTGGAGGTGGAAAACAAGGCAAGCTATGAAGCGAATCAAAAAATTTGTCCTAAAATACTACAAGACGGAAGCAGACGTGGTAATTTCACCAGAGTTGAACAAGGAAATGTTTAAACATGGAATGAAAAACCCGCCTAGCAAGGTTAGAGTGCGAATAGAGCCAACTGTTTCTGCAAAGGATGCGAATAGGCGTGTCTTTAGGCTGTCGCATGTGGTGGTAGGCAGTTTCAAAGGGTTAGCCACCGAGGCTGTGGTTGAGTAAAAGGTTTTTAGCGATTTTATTGTGAGTAGGGTATTTGTTCACCTCATGTATGTTTGGAGTGATTTTTTTGACGTATTGGAGTTAAATCTTTGTTTAACGCTTTTTACAGGCTCTCAATTGTTTTGTACCGCTTTTTCTTCATGTCATTTCCGATGTTCATTTGCTTGACCTTGGTGGGCATCCTGGTCCTTCGGTATCCATTCACAAAATCCTGAATGAAGAGTAGAATGCTCTCAAAGAAGGTACTTAAACGCCACGAAAGATTGTTCTGAGGTACAGCTCGTGACAAGCATTGAGATTGCAATTTTGATAGGAGTCTATTTATTGATACGCACCGTGCACATACGGAATAAATTTTGGTCAAAATTGATCTAAATTTTAATATTTTTGTATGCATGTCGTATTGTCCTGCTGATACGAGTGCGCTCTCCTTTGTTCACTCCTTGTTTATTGGTCTTCTGTATTTAAATTTATACTTTGTTGTAAAAAAGGGTCGTTTATCCTCTCCAATGTCTTCTGGTAAAAAACGTGAGATAATTAAAACCATCATACAAGGTTTAAGAAAGATTGGCAAGAGAGAGCGGCAGAAGAGGGACGTACAAAACGAAGAGATGGACAAAAAGGAGGTAAATGCGTACGATGAAAATGTAGGTGAAGACAAGGTGGAGTTAAGTAGCGGTGGTGAGAAAAATAATGGTGTAATAATGTGTGCCGGCGGCAACGATGCCAAGCATGTTACTGCCATTGGCGATGACAGCAGCTGTGTCAGCTCGGCTAGGGCTACCAGCCACACGGTCTCGTTCCACGCCAATAACAGGTCTATCAGGATGTGTTCCTACAAGTCAAATATCTTCAATGAAATACGTTGCTTAAGAAAAGTTGGGGATCTCTTCACCAGGGATGATTACATATACTCGTCTGACTTGGTGGGAAAGAGCGGCAGTGTTCTGTTTTTCTCTCCAGATTTCAATTTTCTGGTAAAAACGATAAGAAAACATGAAAAGAACACGCTTCTATCTCTCATTCCTAACTATATAGAGCATATAAAAAAATATGACACGACATTCCTCAGCATCTACTATGGATGCTATAAAATAGTGATCGAGCGTACGCAGATTTACTTTATAATCATGAACAACTTCCTGCCACCCCGGAATGTTCACCAACTCTACGACTTGAAAGGTTCCTTCTACAAGAGGATGGGGACGAGCAACGATAGCACGGTGCTTAAGGACTTAGATTGGAGAAGAAACAAAAAAAGAGTCTACATAGAGGATAGGGTGGAAATGATCGAACAAATAGAAAAGGATGCGGTGTTCCTAGAGGAGAACCAAATAATGGATTATAGTTTGCTGCTGGGTGTGACAGGCACCGGCAAAGAAGCGTTCAGCGATGGTAGCTACGATGGCAGTTACTCCGATGCAAGCGGAACCAGCACTTTTTCTCCAGACAGACGGGGAGTACGTAGTGATGTGTCGTGGATAAACCTGCACAATGAACGAAGTGATAGAAAGAAAGGAATTGTTTACCATTATATCACAGAAAATAGCGAGAATACTGAAATAGATGGTCTTTTTGATACAGAAAATCGTCTAATACGTGGTTACTCCGCCGATGTCAGCGGTATAAAAGAGGTGTATTTCATAGGAATTATTGATTTGTTAACGAAATGGAGTTGGAGAAAAGCACTGGAGTATCATTTTAACCGTTTATTCTGTAAAAAAGAGTTCTCTAGCGTAAATCCGAAGGCGTACAAGGAGAGATTTATCACAATGGTGAGAAAAAGAATCTTTCATGAGAAAGACAATAAGACAATTGAATAATACCACGGATTGATTCTTTTCACTCACAAACATTTTCCTGATACTTACTGGCCATTTTCCGGCCGGCATGCGAGAGCTCAGCAAGCACCAAATAATGAAATACGGAATAAATGGCACCACCTGACAAAGACTTGATAAACGGACTAACTTGTATAATCAGATGCTTTACTCAGTTTTCTAATATGGGAAGCTATTGCTGCATGTTTAGAACGTTTTCGCCCTCTTCCACATTCTTCTTTTCTTTATTTTCCTTCGCCTCGTCTAACAAATGACCATGTTTCTTGAGGATCTTCATATCGATATCCTTGTTTTTCTCTCTCATGCTCATGATCCTGTCGTAAATGTAATGCTTACGCCTCTCGCTCTCGATCTCGCCGATAACAGGAATGGCACTAACCGTGTTACTGACAATATCTCGTCTGTATCTCCCGATCTCCTCTCTCTTTTTCTCCATTCCACCCACACCGTGCACCTCCTTTCCAGTGTACAGCCTGTATGATTTCGTCCATCTCGTTTTGCGAGGATTCCATTTCCTCTTGAACGCCTTGTTGCACTTTGAGCGACAGAATCTGAACAACATGGAATCGTTGCGCACAAATGTTACACCATGGCCAGGATAAATGGATGACGAGCAAAAACTGCACTTTTCTATTCTCATTTTGTTGGCTAGGCAGGGATCATAAAATATTTTTTATAACGAAGAATCGTTCCACAGTTTCTTGATAATGCAGGAGAAGAGTGCCATAACAGATTACCTTGCTTGTTTATGTTCTTACTTAAATCTGCACCTTATAATTAAGACAAGCTAAAAGTTTGCGATATGCTTGAAGTCCCGATGCCATATCCATCACTGATCTAAAGATGTGATTAGAGAAGTTATACATGTAAGCTATGTGCGTATCTTCTAGTTAAGAGTGTATGTGCTTGATCTTGTTGCTCGTAAAGTGTGATTACAGGAATTTGTCACCTTTCTCGCCTGTCAGACACAAAGAAATAGATTGTTAGGATTGTTTACTGCATGGCGAGTTATCTATTTGCCCAGAAAATGAGTGTAAGAAGATCATTTTCTTTCTAGTTATGTTGTGGTCACCATCATACAAATTTATACCACCTTGTAGCTGAAAATTTAAAATGGAGCTACACCGCAATATTGGCATTTTTTCGTTGGCGGATTGTTAACCGGTTTTTTGCAAATCTTCTCGAGACACGCTTTAGCAAGACTGCTTTCCCATGAAAGAATAAATGAAAATGCGCTTTCCTGGGTGATGTTGCACGAGAAGGTAGAGAAGCGTAATTATAATAAAAACAATTGTGAATCAAATACCCACAACTTTCTGAAAACGTCCGAAAGACAAGTCGACCATAAACCCTTACTTTAATGTTACTAATCCAACGAACCTTTGGTAAGCAGCTTCTGAATAATTTCATTATATTTCGTACTATCAAAGAATTCGCGACAAAATGGCAACTTGCACCTTGTCAAGCACATTGTACGATATTTCTTCAGTCTTTGTATACACATCCTGAACCTACCTGTAGACAGTAAAGGCAACTTCTCTGCCTGGATGTACACACAAAGGGTGTAATAGAATTCTATCAAGGCTTCTCTCAACCCAAAAATTTCCACTTTATCCATTCCCAGGAGCGTAAATAGACTGATAACAAATTCCATAAAATGTTCTTTGCACGAGTAAGATGCCACAAGCATTCGCAAGTAAAACGTGTATTCGATATCGCATGCCTTGAAGAATTCCTCAAACGAGCTGCTAAACATAAATTTCTCTTTGAAAGCTTCGAGCATTTTGTAAAACGTATGAACTTCAGCTATTCTGTACAGCAGAATGTATGACAGTGTCTGCCATCCGATACTAGACAAGTCTGTGGCGCTATCCAGAATAAGTCGATACTCACTCTCCAGCATACTCTTCTGGACATCCTTAAAGAGGCCGAGCTCCTTGCTTAGTTCTTCTATCTCGTCATGTATCTGAGATGCGTCTGTACAGGAGCGCAGTTCCAGCTGATTACAATTTTCAAACACATGGTTGAACAAAAAGCGCGCTAAAACGCAAAATAGAAACATCTCTGTAAAAAATCTAACGTATTTATACTTTAAATTTCCTATAAAATATCGTATATGGTATATACGTGACGTTTTGATATTTGAAGGAAAATCAGGATTTATGTTTAATATTATCACGTACAAAACATGGTTCAATCTAACAGTTCGTATTTTCAATCAAAGTACGGAGTACCTTGTAATCAGGCACTTCTACATCGTGCTGCGGCTCTACACGGGGACGAACAATCTTTATTAGCAGAATCAGCGATAAAATAGCTACAGATTGCTTGGCTTGTATATTTATAGCATAATACCTTTGTACTGTGCTACATTTCATGTTCTTGTTGCACTGTTCACCTTTTTTACCGCGTTACACGTATTCAAAGTTTTTACGTGCCATAAAAGTACAACAGTGAAAGTGACAGGTCGAAGGAAAGGCAGGATAGATGTAAATTTGTAGATGAAAGCGGCAGCTATATAAAATAGAAATGTACATTCTACGCGTTTTTATAGCATCGATTTGGTTGTAGAAGCATATCATCTCTGATATTCGTAGCTTTGCCATCGCGGTGTTTTGTTCTATTTCTACCGTCTAATTTTGATTACCAATGCACAAAAGTTCGATTTTTAAAATTTTCTTCTATTTTAGCACTTTCCAGAAAACCTGTCTTATCCAGACTTCCTCCCAAATATGAAAACATTTTTTATCTTTTGGTCTGTAAAAGGTAAAACTGCAGTTTTCCATGTTCCTAGTGAGAAAATGTTTTTGATACCAGCTATGTTTATTAGACCTGTGGCCATGGTCAACCCGGCGAACCAGAAAAATGTGTTCGATTGGGCTGTGAGATGTGTTAGCAGGTAGCTAATAAATGCAAGCGAAAAAAGTTCGGATACTTCAGCTGAACAGTCGCAGTACGTAGACGATCACCGATACGATTAGCCATCAGTAAATGCAGCAGTAGGTATAAAACAAGCAATCGTTGTGCTTTAAAGAGAACGCTGTTGGTTGTTAGAAACCTTAAATTGCGGTACAACCTACGTATCAAATGATTGTTCGTTTTCTAACGTTATGAATGGTTTTACACCAAATCTTGGAGATTAGAGAAATATGCGAGTATGGAATGAGGTGAAGATAAATTTTATAACAAATCAAGATATATCAACATAAATGGTCTGCAACTCAGCAGTTTTAGACCGTTCATCTCGTAGAACGATAAAAGTGTTGCAATTAATACCATAGCTGTGTATTTTTGAGTGCAAGAACGTATCATGTTTAAAAAGAACTTAAAGCATCGTTTAATCACTTTCATCGATTGAGAAAGGCCATGCAGCGGACAGCGCGGCCAGGTTGATCAAGTATTTTCGCAGGATTGCCTCTTTTACGTTATCATTTGCTGTGCTATCGATCTCGTTTACCATCCTGAACAAAGACCGCACTGCATCGATCAGCAGCCGCTCGGACTTGTTGTCCTCCTCGTTTATCCTAACATAAATCTCAAGTAGACACATCACGATGTGATGAAAAGGCTTAAGTGCCGATAACACGGCAAGAAACGCATAAATACCATCAACATGTTGCAGCATTATACTTTTCAGCACACGGTGTATGTTCATGTTGACAGACAGGAAGTGTTTGTGCTCCTTGGTAACAGTTATAAATAAATAGGTAATATCAAAAATGATGGCGCTTCGCATAGCACAAGTGAGCATTTGATCAAAGTTAAATGCAAAATATGCATCACCCCATAGTTTATCATACAGGTGCTTGTACTCCAACCTGATGTGCTTTTTAAGACCCATAGCCATTTTATGCGCCAAACTGTCTTCAGATGCTGATGTTTTAGGCATATCATCGGCCAAATTTCCGCAATTCGTAGGTTTAGTATTGGTATCTGATTGAGGTACGTTGGGCAATCCTGATTCCAACCGCTTTGGTTCATTGTTAGACGCACATACGCGTATAGGCGAGTGGGATTTCGATTTCGGCTGCTCACATCTTTTCCTAAGACAAGCAACGTGGTTCTGTGATCCATGTATCGATGATATGTCGGATCTGGGTGAATTGACAACATGGCTTTGCGGACGGGCCGTTGTCATGGATGGTACATTAACTGGATTAGAGTGTCCTTTAGGACCACTAAACATTTCTTTTGAGCCTGGTAGGCTGTTTACTATGTTCCATGCCAATTTTTGTGCTTTTTTCGTGGTCTCAGGGGAAACAGTAGGATTAGCGGCTCGAATGCTGACGAAAGCGATACATACGCAGAAAAAATGCATGGGAAGACCGCATCGTTTCCTTAAATACTTTTGTGTCATCAAAATTCACCATTTTAGGTGCTTTTAAGCTAATTTGGAACACGCCATATTTTACCTGAAATATTGGCAATTGGATCCAAATAGATCCATGTTTTACATCTTAATACCAGATAATTGATGTATTTTAGTGTGACAGGTACAAAAATTTTTTATTTTAGAAATTTATCTCTTTATCAGCATTTGATCCCACCATTTGACGTTTAAACTGATATTTTCTGTTATGGTGCTCCAGAAGCGTTTCCTGCGCGTATACAAGATCCAAAATAGAAGATAAGTCGATCATTTTACTTTTGAAATGCTTAACGTTTTCATACCGGTGCTCTACCGTTCTATTCGTTATGTTTGTCGTGGTGCTCTGTGATACCCGCTCATATCATCTATAGTTTCATTCAATATCATCTTTGTGCTGCCGAGCCAGTTCTACCACAATCCGAAATGTTCATTTTCAGCACCTCTTTTTGTCGCTTCCGTTTTTAAAACTGTCAACTATATCAGCAGCCGCAGACGTGTCCAAAAGCTTATCACACAAGCAAAAAAAATGCAATCAGACATGCGAAGTGATCCTGAGAAGCACAACCTGCGAGTAAAGTTTTTTACCAAAAGTTTATTCATTTGCTCACAAGCGATGTTTGCTAAAAAACTGCCTTTACGAATCAGAGCAACAAACCTAATTTGAGAGTGTCCGCAATATTTCTGTTTAAAACCGCTACTCTTCATATCAACACTAAATAAGCTACCTTTTAGAACAAAGCCCTGTATTTGGCAGAGACGAGAGGTGCAGTGACAGATACCAAGGCAGTTGTGGTTGACTGCCTATAACAGGGGCGTACCCCTTCAACCGTGTAAAAATCAATAACGCTTTATTTATCTCTCGAATGCCTCGACGTAGCTGTTTATATCAGCTACGTTGATAAACTTGGTGACCGGTTTTTCGTTCTTAACCGGCATAATGGTGCCTCTGAAGGACGTAGCATTATCTTCTCTCGCCTCCTTCGCATTCTTGTACACCTTCACGTGTCCCAAATACTCTTTCAACCTCTCAACATTTCTCTCGTATGTCTCCATGTTCCTATCCTTCCTCCTCTTGTCAATCTTCACACCAACGCTCATCGCATACCTCAACTCGACGCCGGCCCCGACTATCTCCTGCTCGGTAAAACCTCTGCCCAAACGTACTTTGTAGTTGTACCGCTGGGTAGGCTGCCGAACAACGGGCAGAAGCTTCTTCACAGGAATCGGATACTGCTTTTTGGCCTTTTCACGGCGTGTATTTCGGCGCTTCACTCCTTTGGCTGGCTGGTTGAACCATGTCTTGAATTTCATTGAGCCTTTGTTGAAGTGATTGCTCACTAAGGCGTTGTTGTGTTTCATTTTTAGGGGAGGATAAAAAATATTTTTTTATTGTGCTGGTCGGAACTGGAGCATGGGGTGAACGAGCGTATTTTTATGGAGCAAGGACCGAATGGTCATACAAATCAATTCTTCCATCATTTTGAAGTAAAAGTATTGCAAAAATGCATAGGTGATAAAACTCATCATGTCTGCAAGCAAGAAAGCGCTAATGCTATGTGCTGTAAGAATGAGCTATAGTAACCGCTTTTTCTACCCTACAACAGTTCAAAACACTGACTCTCTGTAAACGGCCAGCAGTGGTACAATTCTTCACTTTATCCTTCACCCACATTATTGTGCAACACTGCTTTGGTGCTCATGCTCAGTTATAACTCGTAGCACCTTTTCTACGTCGGCAGCCTTCCCTTTGCTGTGCATCCGAATGCATCCCTCTCCAGCGATTTGCATGCAACTTCGCTATTTTTAACCGATTCATGGTGGTTTATTAGAGTTGAACTTCCAGCGCAGGGATCGAGTGTACCATGCCTTATGCGTGGCAGTCCTTCACCGTACGCTTTTCTTTTTTAAACAGCTTTATTCAACACCATCCTGCACACGCATCTATTCCGTACAAAATCCATTTGATGGACCAACACCAGCCCGTCACTATTTGCTCTAGTGGCCCATCTGCCACAACATTATATTAGAATTCTAGGACAACTGGTAAATCCTTCTGAGAAGACTCTGGTACTGGTAATTACCATGAATCTTGCATCAGCCTAAGTTCTAACAGATTTGAAGCTCAGCACCTTTGATCCACGCCATTTTTTAGCACCCACCGCAAAAAGTCATTACTCCTCGATCTTGAGGCAACCGGTTCGATCCCACGCAACACACAGAGGCCGTACAAGTTCTAGCAAGTTGACTTTGATCAAATCCATTTGCTGCGTACATTCACCTGAATCACATTGGAGTAGGTACGATACAATAATAGTGGTAAAAGCAATTCCTCGAAATGATTTAGAGCCTCGTAAAATCGGCAGTAAAAATCTTAGTAAACGTTCAATGTGCCAGGTAAGTCTGTTTGTGTGTTGTGAGGTGATATTTAGGCGTGACTCGAAAAATTAATAAATTTTTCGTGAACCTTACGTGAGAAGGAGACCAAGCCACGATTTATGCTTTATTGCAGCAAATGTGCATATTCATATCACAATCAGACCGAATTAGCACATCTTTACGCACAAAACCATGATCTAAATTGCAGTAGATACGTAGAACTGGCCTAGCTCTGTTCATTCATAAAAAATTTTTTGCTTGCCCCTAAATTAAAATGCAAGAAGTGAAAACAATCGGCACAAAGAAGCATGCCAAGGCGCACGCCACCACAGTACCCATACAATCACCGTTCTCCCTCACAGTGAACCATGTCGGTCTTGCTCTTGTCCAGGATGTCTTCATGCGCAACAAGATCAACGAGCTTATTCTGATCATTGGTCAGGAGAATTTGGAGAACCTGCGCGTTAACGTAAGTGTTAGAGGAGGCGGGCACGTTTCACAGGTCTATGCAGTGAGGCAGGCAATTGCAAAAGGTGTAGTAGCGTTCTATGGTAAATTTGTCGATGAAGAGAGAAAACAGGAAATACAGAATAGATTGATAAAGTTTGACAAATTTACGCTTGTGGCTGATCCTCGCAGATCAGAGCCAAAGAAGGCCGGTGGACCATCTGCACGTGCGAAGTATACGAAGAGTTACCGTTAAATTAAAAAGTCTTGGCATCGCATTTTTTGACCGGTTTTATTTCTTTTTTGAGTTGTGTGCTATCCGTGGTGCTTTTTGCTCACCCATCGTTGATCAGTCACATTAGTGACAGCCCGTCTTCGTGGG